AAACTTTATGATCTAATTTCATTTCATTGATGGTATTTAAAACCCAAGCGACTGACCCATCTCCGCCACAAACAAGAATTCGACAGGATACCGGACTTAGCTATAGATAAAAAAAAATACGAAAACGATTTTTAAAATTAAGCATGAAAAGAATTTTTGAATTAAAATCTTGTTAATCTATTTAGATTCGGACTAACTAACCTTAACAATTTCCAATGCTTCTGCAGGTCCATAGGATGTCATTGAAATTATTTGAATAGGATTTAGAATGGAACGAAATAAGTTTGCTACACTATCAGCTTCACTTGATCCAGATTTAATATTAGCGATGACAATTAAGGGCTGCCAGTTCTTCCAATGAGGAATTGCAGAGATTTCTTTTAAATGAAGCTTTGGAGCCTTTCGTGTTCGACATGCTTTAACAGAAAAAGGAGGAATGACGAATTCCTGATATTTTCCAAAGTCACAATTTCGGTCTAATGATGTACATTCATCATGAAAGCTCTCATGGCACCAACAACACCTCACACCGTGAATTCCAGGTTTATGAACGTTTTTAATATCTTTCTTACAATTTTTACAAGAAGAATTTGTAAGATTTCCTTTTATGAAGAGATGAGTAAATTCTGAAGCTTTAACTTCCTTTCTTTCCCTCTGTTGCTTGCATTTAAATTTCTTATCAGCAATTTTTGCACATGTTGCTTTATCACAAGCTACACCACAATAAGCACAAGTAAAACCTTGAGCACTAAGAAGCAATTCACAAATATTACAAAAATAAGTTAAATCATTTTTTCGTCTCCATAAATGCCCTTTCTTACCATCACTTATATGCACTGTTGGCTTTGCATAGTAATGTACAATGAATTATCATCTGGTTCGGTCCTCTCTAAATCTTCGATTAGCACTTGACTTTCCTTCTCACGACCTAATCCTTTAAGCGCAAGAGCTTTCAATGCAAGTGCTGTTCTTAGCTTCGAGGTTTTTTTTAAAACTTTTTCAACTTCTTGCAATGCTTTTTTATTCTTGCCGACATAGATTGCATCTGAATAGAGACATTAAAATATGAAAATTATTAAAATTGTGAATTTTTAGTTAACCTCAGAATTTAAAATTTAAACTTG